ATTTTACTGTAGAATGTCGTTGGTTTAAATCTGCACTGGGTACTACGCTTAATCGGCTTAACAAATATAATTATCACAGGTTTACGGAAGTGCAGTCGTAAGCACAAACAGATTTATAATAACGTCTGCGGACGCCTTACTGTATAATTCAGGTGTGACTGCCACAGATGGCATCAGTTCCTTCAAAATCAAAAATAAACCTTGCTGACGAACACGAAAGTTAGTTTCACGGTTTTCTGTCAAATGCCTCCAACTTCTTTCTTAATACTAGAAGGACTTAAAAAATGTAAAAAATTATAAAGCACAACAGGATTTCAAATTATGAATGATAAAAGGGAAATTCCTTTTAGGAGAAGCTGTTTCATCTAAAAAGTGAACGGAACTGGAATAACTTCAATTTATGCTGCAAAAATTAAAGTATAATCTAAGGAAAATGAATAGTAATTAGGTTGAAGTATGATGTGCATTTGAGTCCTGTTAAGCTAGAAGGGGTCCTAGAAATGGTTGAATTAAGCATCTGAAGGATGTTGGTGGTGTGCTTTAAATTTTTCTGAATAAGAAGCACATGTTATTATTATTCTTGTTCCCTTGGGTTCCTAGTGGGATATAGGGCTTCGACTGCACGTCTCCACTTGCTTCTGTCTTCTCCTGTACCTTTCACTTGCATCCATGTTAGGCTATACTGTTTCAACTCCTCTTCACACGATCTCCTCCATGTCACCCTTGCACTGACGACTCACTCGCCGCTTCCCTTTCGGGTTCCACTCGAGGGCCTGTTAATACTTTCTAAATTTAAAAATACTGAAAATTTTGTTGTAGTTATTCTTGTTACTTTCATATCTGTCTATATTAGTACCGTGTTTCTGTTCAGTTATTTTTCTTGTGATGAGCTCAGTGACTGGTAAGACGTGTGGTATTACTTTTATCTATCTGTCTTTGTACAATACGACTATTTATCCCCTCTCTGGTTAATAAATCGACTACGGCATAAAATTTACTTGGGAAGTCTTGTAAAGTAAGATATTACATGTGGTGACGGTTTTGATATTACTATCATCAAACATGCATAAATACATCAGCGTTTTGCCTTCTCAATATATTTGGAATGTGTTATGATGTTGTTGAATAAAACCTGTCTTTAAGAAAAACCGACACCCCTACAATTCCATCAAGACATGTCTGAACTTGAATCGAACTATCAGCAAGAAACTAACCTCAGAAACCAAAAGAAAATTCATCCTAGTGTATATATAAAGAATGTTTCTGAGATGACTGTTAGAATACTAAAATCAATCGAAATAGACAAAACACACAAACCAATGTAATTACTTCACTGAATGGTAAGGAGGCGAAAAGATCCAACAGAGAAAGCAGACAAAATCAACACTATCTACTGAATAAGTTGCATGCACTGTGATAGATCCTGTGTCGATCAAAGAAGGTGTCCTCTTCGATTCCCAATCTATAATCATAAACTAGCTGTGAAAAGAGACGGTATGTGTTCCTTGATATAGATAGATCCATGTTGACAACAATGGACAGTAATTTGATTGGGAAAATGTAAACATTTCAAAAAGTGGAAACACCAGAAATACTGTTGAATTCCTAGTCGCCTGGTACTGAAATGAATCAATGGATAACAGACACATTAATACAGATCGAATTTATAAACCAATAAAAAATAAATCACATGACAAGAAAGTTAAGAAATCCCAGGGGAATAAAAATGTTCAATAAGGACGTAAATTAACAACCAATCCTGACAAAGATTATCATTATATATTGTTCGAGTTTGATAAAGGATTGATATCAGTTAGAGAAACATTGAAAACCAACCACAGGGAGTACTGGAAAGCTGTTAAATCCATCCTAGTTTGGGACTCACTGGCAGGACGCACCCACCACGAGGGTTCGAACCCACGACCTTCCGGTTACAAGATAAACTGGATCGTATACCATTCAGCCACTAGGACGCGATTCAGTGGTCGCCTCATGAATTCTAACTTCTACCAATTCGTGATTTAGCGCGACTGGCACCAACCAATGTCATCGGTGGGACTTTCATCCTCACTCCCGACTGGATGGAACCCATTGGTCACAAATTCTCACTAGAACTCCAGGAAACTCTATTCTGCAGAAAATCATTATTCATCGAAAATTCCAATAAGTTCATTTCATATTGAAGTCCCCGTTGAAGATATTTTCTAGGAGGATGACGAAAGCTTCTCAATTAAACCATCCAGCTCAGAAACTGAGACTACATCAAAATCAACCACCTGAGCTACAAGTCTTCTCTACAACTTCAGTTTCATATCAGTCTTTTGTGGTACTGATAATATATGATACTACTTTTCTATTTTATGAATACTTATTATCTACAAGATTATTTACTGTACAATACAACCTATGAAAACAGAGTTTTGCTAGTGTATGCTGATGAGATTGATGGAATGAGACGTTATATGGTTGATACACTGGTATCATCTGCTTCCTAGCCAATTTAGAACAAACTTTGTCGAAATGAATACTTCGTTTAACGTGTTTTGGCTGACCTGTAACACTTCATCCCATTTCGAACATTTATTTAGGCGAAGAATGTATTTTTCGGATGAGTAAACTTTACTACATTTTAAACTGGCAAGCCTTATGATCATAAAACTATTCTAGAATTGTTCATTTTTTTCCTTCACGTTCCCAGTGGAACATAGGGTCTCAAGCTAGTGGCTTGAAGTTTCTGTAGAAGCGTTTAATTTTACAGGATGGGGTTGCTAGCCTCATGCCCAAACTATCTGCTTTCCCAATCTCACTACTGGCTTAGTGAGGTAAAGGAGTACGTCGGCTGGGGATCGAACCCCGGCCCATGTGCATGGTCGGCGAGCGTGCTAACCGCTATGCCACCGACGCACAGAATTGTTCATCATAATCATTTGTTATTTAGATTGTGCATTTTGTAAGGATTTGGATGAATCAGTGAGTGTACAGTTTGTCACCAACCATACATCAATTAGAGAGTCACTGAAAACCGAACAGCATTGGACAGTTGTTTCATACTAATGGCAGAATCATTGACAGTATGAACCCATGATGAAACCTGCAGGAATCGAGCACGTTGACAATTCAGCCGTGACTTTCATTGGATCTCTAACTGATACCAATCAGATCCCTGCAAACCAACACTTGAGAATCAATCTAATGCTGACTAGTAACTGATTACAGCATGAAGTTGTCTGAAATTCTCTTCAGAAATCGAGACTACTGGGGTCCCCCAAGTTGGGTGTGAGGACAAATACTCGCTGACGATATCAGCCAACAATTGCGTCATATATCGCTATTCAACAAAAGTTAGAATTGATGGGGCTGCCACTGGATTCTATCCCAGTGCCTAATTGATCAATGTACTCGCCTTGTAACCTGAAGGTTCTGGGTTCAACCCTGGGAGATGGGTTCGTGGATGTGCCCTGATAAGGACTTGCAAACTCGCAATCAGCACCTGTACAGTACTCTCTGTTGGTTTTTAATAACTCACTAACTGATATCAATCCGTGGTCGAACATACAACCAATCAAATCATTATAAACTAACTCTAGATGAATTTCTAGTATTGGCTTATAGGAATTTGACTGATCGGTTATAGGATTTCATTATGAGATGACATCGGTTACAGAACCACTGAAAAACCTGGAAGTACTGGACAGCAGTTTCGTCAGTCTAGTTTGGAGACTCTTCAGCAACATGCACTCATCGCCAGGGTTCGAACTTAGGGCCTTCTATTAGAATTTAACTGTGCACCAGTGATGAATTCCACTAGTACTCACATTTTTGTTTTGCGCCATCTACCACTGATGAATGAGTTTACGAACATTCCCCTATTTTTCAGTAAATATGATTTATACCTCGAGATACTCGAATCTAATCCATATCAAGATTGTTTTTTTTCTGTCTAGCTTAGAATAAAACCTCCTTGTTTTTCCTTTTTAAATAAAGCATCACTCCATTTTACTGATTCTAATATTTCGCATTATCAATCAACCAACCAAAATAAATGTAAGTCAAGTAGAAACATTTTAAAAAGCGTACAATAATAATAAAATAAAAATATGGAACACAATGATTACTACTAGTAATGGTATTTAGAATTTTTCTCTCACTTGTGATGGGGGTGTATGTCATATATTCTTACCCCATCTCTCTCTCTCTCTCAGAGTGTGTCTGTGCAAAGTACTATCTCATTTATCGCTCCACTACTAAATACGAAAAATAAAGTAATGAGTGTATTATCCATTCATCATCGTCCTTTAGCTAGAGAAATGTGTGTGTGTGTATGAACAGATAGAAATACATAGCTTATATATACACACATGCTGCATTTTTTTCTTACCAGTGCGTATTACTACTTACATTGCTTCTAAAGGGGCATGCATACTACTAGTAATAAATGTATTTATTTTCGCTAAAGGAATGAGTATGTGTGTGTGTGCGGACAGGGGGGTTGAGGAGTACGCTTACGTTTTTTGCAAATAGAGAGGGGTTATGCACAAGTAAACAACACACCATGAAGCTTTTGTATGATCATAATTAAGAAGAGTAAACGGTTGAACTAAGTTTCAAAGATGTAATAAGGTCATCAAAATCATCATCGTCATTATCATGTGTCTAGCCGACGAACAGAGGTATGATACAATACACCGTTTTCTAAACCCTTAAAACTACAACAACATTGTAGAATGAAGTTGTTTGGTTAAAGTGAAGAGACATATATATATGCATACAAGTATGTATATATAAGCCAGTAATATTAAGGGTATAGGGAACACATAAATGCATATGTACACTATGGCTTAATGTATTGATGATAAATAGAAGTAACGTGTGCACAGGTTATATAGAACAAGTCGTTTACATTTTCTCTCATATTACCTCTCAAGGGTAGACAATTTATTCATTGTCAAGGTAGAGGATAGAGAAAAAAGGGTGGTGTGTTAGTGGGGGTAGACAAAAAAGCGAGTATGAAGACAGAGAGTAAGAGGGAGAGAGTAAGAGAGAGAGAGAAGACAGTGAGATTAGGTAGGGTTAATTTGCTATCTATCATTATTGTTATTATCATACTATAGTGGGTGAGAATGATTCCAGTATTTTTATGATATTTTTCAGTCACTTGTTTGCAATATTTATTCACTGTGCACACATTATTATATTCTGAAATAATATAATATAAATAATAATAACAATAACTTTTTTCCTCCGCAAGAAATCTCTTACCCACTGTGTGACACACTATCTAAAGCTTACTTGAAGAAAATTTTCCAACAGTTTCCAACACAAAACTACGCTAGTTCATACACACACGCTATTGCGGATATACTTTTGTTGATATTCTCCTCTGTGAAAAAAGAAACCTCGATCTAGTATAGAATCGAATGCCTCAGAAATTATCACCAGTTCTACATGAAATTTATCAAAATATTACTGCAAATAATCAGATAAAAATGGATGAACACAATGACCTAAATACGCCAATATTTACAACAAATGGATCCATTAAAGGTAACAATAGGACAGCTCAACACAATAATGATAATTCTGATGATTGTGATGAAGTTCATCAAAATTTCCCATCAACATCACCACCTCCGACGACGTTGGCATCATTGTCGTTACAATGTTCACCATCAGTAACAGCTACAACCTCAATGACTTCAACATCAACTGCAAGTGTGCCGACAAAATCATCACCTTCTCCTATATCATTATTTGATTCGATCAATTCATTGAAACGTGCACGTATTGAATTAAACTCAACTGAAATTAATAACAATAATAGTAATAATTCACCAACTGTATTCAATGAATTTCCATGTTCATGTGGTCAAATCATTTCAGATTCCAGTGAATTTTTACAACATGTACGTCAATGTCAAGAATTTATGATGACTGCATCAAATTTTGCTGAAGTTATCGCTATGAATACAGCAATGACTATGTCATCCAAATGGAGTAAATCTCTACTTAATCCTATTCTTGAAGGCAAAAATAATCCATATTCTAATGATTATAAATTTTCTTCATTTTTAACTCATAAACAATATATCGGTCAAGATGATAATCATTCACAACAATCAATGTCTACATCAAAGAATATGTCACATTTAATAAAATATCCTATACAAGAGAAAGACCATACTAATACTACTAATTATTATAATGCTAATTCATATCAGTCAGCATTGGATTTATCCTTTCATTCTAATGGTAGTCTACATTCACCATCGATTAGTAATGCTACTAAGCACAACTGTCCAGAGTGTACTACATTCAGTAGTACAGAGAGATCAGTTTTACTGAAACATTTTGAAGTACAACACGATCGAATTGGTAATTTCACCTGTTCTAAATGTTGTCAATCCTATGACTATTTACCGTATTATTTAAAACATCAAGTGTTTGATAACTGTTCGATTCTTACATCTTCGTCCACTGGTAATTTATCTGCGAAAATGGGAATCACAAAATCTGTAACACTGGAGACACAACATGAAAATGATTATTCAAATTCTACTATACAACATCATAATCATCAGTATTACAATGATCCTCGATCAAGAAATCATTCTTCAACACGATCTCCTTCACCATCATCACCATGTTTACAGTCACCGAGAATAAAATCGATAAATGAGCATACCAATGATATACATTTGTTAAATAAAAAATTGATATGTAATGCATGTAATAAGAGTGGATTTTCGCACACAACTGAACTGATTACACATTTAACTCAATGTCCTAAATTTACTTCACTCACTACTGAAAATGTTGGCAGTAGTCATACTAACACGAGTGTAGATTCTTCTAATATACGCATAAATAATGAATTATTGAGTTTAGCTCTAGGACCATCAGTGAATTCTAAGGTGTCAGTGTTATCCAGTGCTAATCAAAACAATGATAATAACAGTAATAATACACGTGGATCCCCAGCAATAACTGGATTAATGAATAGTTCACCATTCGATTTTGATAAAAGCTTTAGTGATGTGTTGAAAGCATCGTTTAACTCTCAGATGGATAATAATTCATGTTTCTCACCTAATCGTATATCATCGAATGTTAACAGTAACGATAAATTCAGTAATACTACGCCTTCTAATAATTATAGTGATAAGGGGAACCATAAAGGGAATAATCATCATCACCATCATCACAATTTACTTTATACTGCACACGCCACAGAAACACAAACATCCTATACTAACTTCATTTCAAGTTTACAGTCTTTTGAAAAGTCATTACGTAGTGGGATAACAACGAAATCTTCATCAGTAATCAAATCTGAAAATGAAAAACCAACAAACTTATCGAATGATCAATTCATGATGGGTAACGGAAATGATTATAGTAGTATTGCATCAGTTAGTTCATTACTTATGAATGATTTCGGTGTAAATCAACGTTATAATCATAATAATCAACTGCAACGTCATCCTAACCCTGATCATATGAAAGATCTAAAGTTTAGCCAACGTCAGAATGATCCTGTTCACCAGCATCAACAGCAACAGCAACAACAACAACACCAACACCAACAAAATAATTCAAACAATAGTGTACCTTCATCTGTAATGACAGAGAGTACAACAGATTTGTCACGACCATTTAAATGTTGTCATTGTATTAAAGCATTTAAATCGAAAGCTTTATTAGATCAACATATGCATATTCATTATCCACCAAAATATACATGTCGTTATTGCGCTAAAAAGTATCGTTGGCCTCCAGTATTTTATCATCATCAGCGTACATGTAAAAAGCGTCCACCATCTACAACATGTACAAATAATGATACTAATAACAGTACAATAACTGTCACAATGTCTACACAAAGCAATCATACAAATAACAACAGTTCAGGAAAACGTAACAGTAATAATATGAATTATTTAACTTCAGAAATAGGGAAAAGTTTCCCGCTTAATTCAGAATCATTCTTTAAACCTTCAACCGTACGTTCAACAAATCGTCAAGGAGATGATAAACTTCACGGGACATCAACAACGAAAAAGTCAGATAGAACTACAGGCGGAAGTGGAACATTTTCTCCATATGGACATTCATCGTGTTTCACACCATTCAATTCTGATATCAATACACCATCGAGTTTCATGGAACTCGCAAATAATCCTGCATTACTTCACAATAGTATTTTTAATAATAGTAATAGCAGTAATGATTTGTCATTAATGTCATCATCAAATTTAAACAACTTCGCAACATTAGCTGCTGCCGCGGCCGCAGCAGCGATGAGTATGCATTTTCAAATTCCTTCAATTTCCAGTATACCACCATTACCACCTTTAGGCTTCAGTAATACATTTCCATCATCATCTACTTCTTCGTCATCACCAATATCATCACTAGCAACAGGAGAATTGTGCAATCGTTCTTTCAAATGTGTCAGTACAACACAACTATCAACAGTCAACAATTCATCATCTTCAGCATTCTTAACCTCAATGCCTTCATCGTCAACAATGTCGTCATCGCCGTCATCCGACCTTTTTAGCCAACCATTCAATCGTTCAAATCCATCATTACCATTTTCAAATCAGTCTGTTTTTCCTCCCCAATATCTTGTACCACCATTTCTAATGCCAAATTCAAGTGAAATGATAAATTCCAATTACTTAAATGAGTCAAATATAAAATCAGAACCCAGTTTTCCATTTAATAATTTCTCAACGCAAGTGTCATCAAGTTTAAATGCTGTGTCATCGTTACCATCCACGGTAGTAACATCTGAATCAAATGATAATTCATCAGTGGGATCCGCTTCTTCACAGTTCAATATATTAAACAATTTATTGTGTATTTGTGGTATGCGTTTCAATGAAATATCAAGTTATTTATCACATGTTACTGCTTGTAATTATTTAAAAAATTTGGTTCAGCAGCAGCAAGACCAACCGCTTTCAACTTCACTGACTCGAACTGACAACTCTCCTTCACTGTCACCGACATCGGAGTCATCATCATCATCATCATCGCCATCAACAACTCCACCACAACAAGTATTATCGCAATCACTTCCAGGAGGAAGAGAACAACAACAACAACACCTATCAACAATGTCATCATCATTTCTGTCGACATTGCCACAATTTCAGTCATCTTCATTATCGCATATATTTCCATTCAATCTTCCATTTCCTCCTTTGTCAAATATGAGTGAACAGTATGACCTATTTAATAGAAATAAAAAAATGAATGAAAATGTAAGCGATGTGAATATGTCGCCTGACTGTTCACCGGTTAGGAATACTGTTCAATCTATACAGCCTGAATCTACAGAAGTGATGAATAAGAAGACTATAAAACAAACTTATGATACTATGAATGAAAAGAAGTTTTCAGGCAATCAGAAAAATCTTATGGAATATGAAGAATCATATTGTCGTGATAAAGATCTTACTAGTGTTAATAAAATGTACAACAGACTAGATGGTGGTAACGAAAAAGATTCTTTAAGTGAAATTCACTCCAAAGGTGAAAATCATAATCAATTAGATTCTTCACAGAATGAACTTACTTATGACAAAAATGATCGTAATAACGGTAGCACTGCCTTTGATCTTAAGTCAGTATTAGATTTACCAACAGTTATGTCAGGAAAAAGCCAAAGTTCATTTGATGAATATGATCCAGATAGTGCTAAACTATTGGAACAACTTTCAACAGATGATAAATTGAATACAAATCCGTCAAATAATTCATTTGTAACAGCAATGGCTAATGTTTTAGCAAATGCAGCAGCTGCAGCAGGTTTTCACTGTCCTGGACTACCAGATCCTACAAATAAACCATTAACAAATCAACATTCTTCTCCATCTCCTGTACACACTCCTTCAGATCAGCCAACAACAAATTATGAAGCTGACAGTGTAGAAATTATGACTTCTGAGAGTCATTCTCAACGAAATAGTTCTAATAATAGTCCAGATAATGTAACATCCATGTCTACAACAACAACAACAACGCCACCAACAACAATGAACTCACCAAAATCTTGTTATCAATGTGGTAAGGAGTTTAGTTCACGTTTATCATTAAAACAACATGTAGAGGGTAAACACAGTACAGAAGGAAAATATTGTTGCCCAGGCTGTTCAAAACGCTATCGTTGGGGTGCTTCTTACTATTATCATAAAAAATCATGTCCAGCTGTAAGAGAACAAAGTCCAGTTTCAAGTGATATAATAAACCAGTTATCCCTATCTGGTTCAGAAGATGATTCTTCTTCTCGATCATCAATAAATTCATCACCTGATCTTCAGTTTAATCCTACGCCTATTCAACAAGACGATGATATGGAGGTAAGAAATGTAGAAGAAAATGATGCTGGTGATGATGACGATGAAGAGTTAGAACAAAGTTCAAATAACTCACCAAGAGAGTGTTTAAATTCTCCAGTAAATAATCAGCGAAAGTCTGATGGTATAGAAGAATCGTTATCAAGTAAAAGCAATAATCCAAATGAAATTCAGTCTATTCCATCTAAAGTAATTAAACAAAAACTATCAAATAAGCATAAAAAAGCTTGTCAGAATTTGAAAACGGATTCATTGTTATGTGATATTAAAGCATTTCCAGTAAGTTTTCATCCATTTACTCTTCTGTAACTTTAGTAGATTACTATAAAGTCATTTGAAATTCTAGAGATGGTTATTTCTTATTTTAAATCAGTTATATTATCTTTCAGCTATTCATAATCGATTGCCCGATTATGTACTTATTATTAAGAAACAGAGAAATTTTAAATTAAAATGCCTAGACACTGGCAGTGAAGTATCCCATCGGTGCAACACTGTAGTAGCACAATTACTGAATTCTGGGTTACCCCTTCTCAACAGAGTACATGTCAGGAAACAGAGTGCAATAAAGGAGATTTAAACCGCAGTAATCACTGAAATAAATCAGACATTCGATAGCCCAACAGATGTACACTTTCTGAATCTGGATTACCAGTGTTATTACATAATTGACGACTTATATATACAATACTTTTAGTCCTAAAAATCTCTTTCATAATAATAAGTATGTCAGTGATGGGTTCTCTTACCAAATCAGATCCTAGAGGCAAATTGTAAAACAATGTATAACTGTTTTATCTTAGTATAAACACAATTCACACTCAAATTCATATTTGATAATGAAAGATGCATAGAATGTAAGTAGATATCTAGTAAAATGTGATTAAGGTATTATGTATATTTTTAATTGTAAAATTGAATCAAGCCTCTTTTCAACAAGATTTTACCTTGTTATCAAGCTAAATGAACTAATTAACTGTCAGTGCACTCTTGAATCTTGTCTAATTTTCCAGCTGAGTAAACAAGGAAGGCTGGATATGAGATTAGCAACCCCACCCTTTAAAAATAACACTACAGGTAATAAAACTTCAATGCAGAAGATTTGAAGCCTTATATTCCCCTTAGAACACAAAGGAGTAAAAAAAGCATCATGATAAAGTTCGTCACCAGGGGACGTCAGTTACAGGATCATTGAAAGTACTAGAGAACTGAACAGCTGTTTCATCTTATTGTGAGACGCAGCCATGGAGGGAGGGTGAGAAGAGACACTTACTGGCAACATCACATAACAACGAACCTATAATGCAAAGTGACAGGATTCGAAACCAGTGACTGAATGATATGGTATTCACCTCTTAACCCACCAGTCGTGGGATAGATCCTTGGTGGAGTTATGGGTACTTACTAGTGAGGGGCCCGAAAAACCAAGAGGAGGTAGGTGTCCAGTCTTCCACGGTTTCTAATGGTTCTCTGGCAATTATCGGTTCATGCTGTAACCTGCCTAGCATTAAATGACTGGTGGTATGTTTTATCACACAGACCAAGCCAATGCATAACTATAGTATTAAGCAAAAGAACTGAGTAGTGTGAGGCATAATCATGACTTCTTTGAAACAGACAATCCCCTTGATATTATTTTTTCTCTCTAAAATAAGTTACTTTAGTGTTACGTAATAGCTGAGGAAGTGATAATGCTAATAAAATAATCATCACAAAAAAAACTATCTCGCTCAACAGTAATGTGATAACAACTCACGAATGAATAGAAAATAATTTTTTTAAAAGAAGTCGATTTTATAACCAAGTTTATTTTGTTTCTCATGTATCGATCGACCACGGAAATCAAAATAATTTTTCAAGTGAAATACACTGAAAAAATAACAAGCAACTAAACAAAATCGATGGATTGGTTTCATCGAAAATAAAACATGAAGTATAATATACTAGCACCTGTATAACAAATCTGAAGTCGATTTGATAATAAACAATAATTCATACGTGTATGATTATTTGTAAAGTATTCATTGAATCAGTTCAATTGCCTTCCAGTCAGAAATGGAACATACATAACTTCTTTAATTGAATTTTAGATTTTCCCGTCGATTGATTGGACCGAAGTTGATATATTGACAGGTTGACATATCGGCTTCTTGTGCAGACGCTTCGACGATGTCTGGGCATTTAATCAGTATTTAATTGATGGATTCCACTGCTAGTCACTAATCAATCGATGGGAAAATCTAAAATTAAATTAAATTAATATGAGTCGTCGCAAAATAGGTGGCTCTCGTGGCCCATGTGGTCTAGTGGATAACGCTTTGGCGTTCGAACCTATGGGCACTGGGTCCGAGTCTGGGTGGGAAGATCATCACTCACTGAGAAATGCAGGTACATCCAGATGACGGGTCCCCAAAAGGACGAAAGGCGCGTTGTCCTGGATTCCACTGCTAGTCATCATCCGCCAATTAAATACATAACTTCTACACAGCCATCGTTATGCTTATAAATAATCGAACATCTTAGACAAAATGGTCAGTAGTCACATTGAAAACAGTAACTTTATGTGTTAATTAAAATACTGGTTTGTGCGAAAATCCTGAGAACTAATTAACCGATTTCTGGAATATTTGGACCGAGTAGTAGTTACCCGCAGGTGGATTACTCCAAGAGGAAAACGGAATGATTGTCTTTGCATGCCACCTTAAGACTGACTAAACTGATACGGCAGTTTTTATCAGCAAATCGAAGTAAATAGAATACAGTTAGTTAAAGATCCATTGAAAACCAGGGGGTACTGAACAGCTATCTTATCCTTGTTTGCGAGTGAAGTAATTGCGTGGTCAGTCTTGAAATCAATCACATTCCTACAAACTAACACTTGAAATTTATTCCAGTGCTCACTAGTGACTGACCATACAACGAAGTTTCCTGAAGTTCTAGTTAGAATGTGTGACCAGAGAGGAACCAACAGGGCATGAGGACAATTACTTGTCGATGAAATTGGTTGACGATCGCGTATAAGTTAGAATTGTTGATTTATCGCTTTCCATTTTGGTAGCTCCATGGTGTACGAGCCCTCCTTTTGACTTGAAAGTCCTGGGTTCACTTTGTGGCAGTGGGGCTATGAGTGCGTATTCCTGAATAGTCCCAAATTAGAACGGAACAGCTATCCATTACTTCTTGGTCTTCAGTGATTCTCTAAATGAAGTCAGTTTGAGATCAATCTGGAAATCACCCAAATCATTGCCTTAGGAATACAATTATTTTAAACATCTTATAAAGAAATGTTCTCAATATTTCTGCAGTTAATTAGTACGTTAAGTCTTGAATTTTCTCTCGGTCAGTAAACACGACAAAAGGTATAATAGAAAAAACATCTTACTACTAATAATTGTCTGGAATCAGGGAGGTGAAATATGTCAAATGAAGATTCTAAAGAAATCGGTAACTTAAATTGTAAATTGTGCGGGAAAAAAAGTTTAAAAGTCGTTTCGATTTTCTACACACTCATTAATTTTTTTTGAAAACGACAATTAAGCAACGATTGTGATGGTTATAGCAGTTGCAACTCTCAGTTATTTTAAATAAATCATCGTGAACTGCATCCTTGTTTCAGAAGAGCATAGTTTCTAGTCTTCCTTCCCCCTATTAGAACATTCTACCTCTTTATTATCGTAACAATAATAAATGATTTGTAATAAATAGATATTTAGGTAATAAAATAGAGGAAACTGAGGATTTCAAGCTTCTAGGAGCTGTGGGTCATTGGTCCAGACACCCAGCTTCCTATCACTGGGTTACAGGTTCGAAATCAGCCCCACCTACCAAGGCTCGAGTAGTCACGTAGTATAATTACCCTTCAAACAATAGACTGGGCTTCTGAATTTGAACAGATAAGCATGTTATAAATTGTAAATGAGTTTTCTAGTACTTTAAGGTTTACAGATAGACATCTGTGTTTATCCATAAAGTGTTACCACCAAATGATCTTGTTAAAGTGTGAAATACTTTTCACAAACATACTTATTTGTCGTAAACTTTCCAAGAATTAGTTTGTAGGGATTCTGTTTGTATCAGGTTAAACCACCGATTGATATAAGTTAGAGAACAATTAGAAAAGAGAAGGGACTACTGGTCAGCTGTTTCATTCTAGTTTAGGACTCACCGGAAGTACCCACACACCACACCACCAGGATTCAAAACCAGGACCTTCCGGTTACAAGGCAAGCTAGCTCGTATACCATTCAACCACTGGAGCCCGATTCAATGACCAACTCATGAATTCTAACTTCTACCAACCCATGATTTTAGCGTGAACACCAACCAGTCTCATCGGTGGGAACTCCACCACCATTGCCGACTGAATGGACCACACTGGTCATGACTTCTCACAAGAACTCCAGGCAACTTCGTCCTGTAGCCAGTCAATCTCTCTGCTACATTCATCGCCAATTTTTTGAATAGTGGGATTGACCACAGTATCAGCCTCTACAAATCTGAAGACATGACAAACAGTGATATATATATATATGCGTCGGTGGCACAGTGGTTAGGACTCTCGCCGACAATGCACATGGTCCGAGGTTCGATCCTCTGCCGACGCGCACCTGCGAAATTTGGGCTGCCGATATCCATGCTGAAAATTCCATACTTGTACCAAAAGTACAGTGTGGAATCAAGCTGTAATCAAAAATTCAAAAAAAAATTTAATTAAAAAATAGATGTTCTTATTCATCAAAATAACACTTTAGCATCGGGTAAACTTTTCTAAATCACTATTGTAAAGATCTTTTTCGCTGGAATATCTCTTCCCAAGTTAATGAGGTATTAGTCTGCCACACAAAGATGATAAAGGTGTCAGCAGTTATTGCGATGACAATATTTTGGGCACTCTAAAGAAATCTGGTTGGTATTTCAATAGTTGAATACATGCTAACTACTCGTGTGGCCCGGATTTGATTCCTAGCCAATACTCTTCTGAACCAAGCCCAAGTAGGGGTAACTTCGGTAAAAAGAGAAGGTTAGACATAAGGCTTGCAACCGCATACTGGAAAAACAACACTACTCCTACTGAAACTCCGAAGCTCAAGCTTGAAGACCTATGTTTCAGTTGATATGCAAAGGAATGACACATGAGACACTGAATCTTTCTTTAACTATATTGCTAATTCCGTCAGACTAAGCACCCATATGCATGTACAGAACACTTATCCCAGAGCTAGCGAATGTTGAAATACCGTTTTCACAGTTAGGAGTTTTACTTTTGATACAATCATGAT